AATAGATCAGACCACCTATAAAAACTATCATCTGTTCATTGTATACAATTAAATTAGAGACAAATTTAGCTAATTATATCGTTTAGATACTGTGGCAACTAGTAATGGTATTATTATTATTATTATTATTATTATTATTATTATTATTATTATTATTATTATTATTATTATTATTATTATTATTACCTGATCACGTGTGACACCGAACAAATTAAAAGTTGATTATTGAACTTGTCTAAATGAAATCGGTGAAAATTTACTTTTAATAGTAAATCTTATTTGCATATTTGATGTAAGAAATTTTTAAAAAAATAATTTCTTGTTTCTTAACTATTAAATTGTATCTAATACATTTCTTGTCTCTTGAAAATATAAACGGATATAATAAATAATTCATTCATATCACGAAAACAAACGACTCATTATATCGATTTGGTTTCAGCACATTTATAGCCATTTAAATAAGTACTTCAAATGAATTGTTGACATTTGTAACAAGAATTCATCTTACATTTTCTTTCTCTTGGTGGTATTAATCACTTTAAGAATAAATTTATATATTTTAGGGTAATTAAAAGCTATATAAATAACATTATAACAAAGTTTCGAATTAAAGGCACAAATGAATGGAATATAGCTTCATTATCCGATGCATGGAATTCATTAACATCTGACCAAACCAATACATCACTGAAATGTTGAAGTATATATATATATATATATATATATATATATATATATATATATATATATATACTCCAGATCAAATGTACATTATTAGAATAAGAATAGTTAAAAAATGGGTCAGATATTATTGGGCTGTTTGTCTAATACTTACAAGTTTCATACATTGTAGATGATTTCAGAAAAACTATGAGGCTACCACCTGCTACAATTTAAACTAGAAGCAAGACTAAAATCTAAGTAAAGAAGCCTATAATTGAATACAAAGTTTAAGTTGGCGAAGGTGAACGTCAATATAAAATAACTCTTCTATTTTAATATTTGAATCACTAATGTCATTTTGTTGAGTTGACAAAACAAATCAGTCTGAATGATCACTAATGGTTAACAAATAAATAAATAAATTATTTATTCTGAAAATAGATGATTTCAAACTATGTAGTCTTCTATTTGTGCTTGAATGCTAGATCCCCAGAAATCACTTGGTAGATATCTAATTTTTGTAATTTTATTTTGAACATTTAAATATCTCTTTTTCGCACTTAAGGCGCTCATTTTCACCTTCACATTGTATTTCCCAGTTGAAAGGACCCTAAAGGTCATTGTTTCATTACCCTTTTTAGTATGCTATTTTGTGACGTTTCCCAAGGGCATTGTTATGCTATATATATATATATATATATATATATATATATATATATATATATATATATATATATATATATATATATATATATATGCTTCGTTTGTATGCTTGTGGTTGTTCGTGTTCCTGAGTGCAGGTGAAATATACTTTTCCATCATCTGAACCGAGTCTTCTCCCTTTAGTTAGCAGAACTGGGACGGATCGGATTCATTTAGCTTGTCTTGTCATTGTGTCACTGAATCTCTCCAAATATAGCAATCTGTTACAAAGTTTACTTGATTTTCATAATTATACAAACTAGACATATTGTTTTTTATGCTGAAACATTCACTAAATTGAATCAATTTAGTTATTTTATTTTTCATAAATGAATATGAATTACTGTGTTTTACCTTTTATAGTAGTGAAATATATAGGAGGGTTTTTTTCAAGCGTATAGAGCTAATGTAAATTTAAGAAATTCCATTTTATTATTTTCCAATTCTCTTTCTTTAATCTATTATTATTATTATTATTATTATTATTATTATTATTATATGATTTCAGTAGTAGTAAAAGTACTTTAATAATTCGAAAAAGAATTTAATCTATGTAAGCTATTTTTTAAGCAGTGTATTTCTCTCGTAAAAGAATATTTTTCACGCTACAAAATAATCATTGAATCAATTTTTAATGTCTATTTATTTCAAGTGAAATGTAAAAATTGGGTACCAACATTATGAAAATTTATTTTATTTTTTAACAGATAAGAAAAGATTATTCACTACTATGTTTATAGAGTTTGATCAGATAGTGTAACACACAACTTTATTACCTATTATCAATATATATTCGAATTGATTATCTTAAAGAAATTATAGAATAAGTATTGACACATTATCAATAAACATGATTCAGATTACTCGATATCTTTAGATCTGAATATGTTAATTTGCGTATGCTTAGCTACACATGCATAAAACTCTTGCTCTATCTGGAATGACAAAAATAGCTATACTCTAAATAGGTAACTTTCATGACGAGCCGATACTAGCTGAGAAACCATTAAAAATCAGTATTGCACACTTACGACGAATACATTACTAAGCGATCTGAAACTAGATCGAAATAGCTGCCTTATACTCACTGATTTTCCAGCTGATGTATTTTGGTAATGGCAAATATCATCAACCCTTTTTAACAAAACACTATATCTCCTTCATAAAAAAAATCATTTTGTCAGTGATTCTTAGATGTCTCAATAGATGGATACTTTGTTATGACTATTCCTCAAAAGACAACTAAGTAGCTTCGTACTACTGGATATTTTTGATTTGCTCAGCACTGAGCAATTATCATAATCCGGAAACCTAAGACTTTACATGCTACGGTCCCATAACTACACTAAGTCCACTACAATTTCATCAGACATCGAGACTATGTGATCACATTGACATTCTTTTATTTTGTGACAATGAAATGGAATAAAATTAGAAACCGAATGAGTAAAAGATATCTTCAAACTTAATCTACTATATAAATCGCTACATCCAATAATTTCATGATGATTTAGTGTTTTTTACTTACTGAAATATTTGTAAAATACATTTCCTAGTCCAGTGGTTGGTCTTTGTTTAATCAGCGGATAAAAATTTGAACGCGAAAACATTTTATAAAATGATTCTCCTTCAAATAGTTTATACTAAAAGCATTACAGGAATACCTCGTTTTTGTAATCAAATATCAGATTTAAAAATTATACAGTTAGTCAGTTTTACACACCCAAATTTAGCTGATCAGTTTAGATCATGAAACTAACAATACTAGTACACCATTAAAAACTAGGAAGCACTGGGAGGCCTTTTCTCCCTGGTATGGGACTCCTTAGCAGTGGACATCTAAGATCCCGCATGCGGGACTCACACTTCAGTGGCTAATTGTATTATGAAATAAATGTCCCTATAAAAACCAATCAGAAGCGTAATCTCGTACTTCTTTCTAATGATTATTTAGCCGAATATCATACAGAGCATACCACAATGAACGAAGCGTAGGTATACACGAACACAATTTGCACTTTTAAAAAATATGCTATACTGTCAATTACATCAATGTATTCAAACGACTGGAGAATTTTATTAGAAAAATGTCAAAATTCAGAGAATTTTTAAAAGCATAATACTCAAATCTCTTTGTAAGTAACGGATGCATTGATTCAGGTCAATTGAACAAACCAGTCAAGCGTAACAAAAGCGTAAACGACGACGATAATACATGAGAAGACTGGTATGGTAGCCGACAGCTTAATCGATCGGAGTGAGAATGTCATGTGGGGTTGAATTTTCCCGACTGTCTGTGACATTTAATCACATTTTTAAGAGTCATTATGTGACTTGGTCAATTAGCTATATTCTTTGATTATAGATAGTTAACTGTATAATATTGTAAATTATTAAGTTCAATGTTTAACTGATATTAAATATTACTCACTTCAATCTATACATATCTGAATGGGAGTAATTCATATAAAGTGGTGTATTCAAACATCGTTTTGACTTATTTTCAGAGTCGAAGAAATTCTTATCATTAGCCTTTGTTTTCTTACCACGTGCCATCGCATTTAGGGTTTCAGTACCCGACAAAAGTCAGATATGCATTCCACAGATATAACCAGGTCACCAGAACAGACTAACTTAACGATTGTGGAATGAACGATCTGAAAGCTCACTTCTACATTGGTAATGATTTAGAGAACAACAAAAACCTTGCGATAAAATCATTCAGCTAAGAGAACGTAACACTCGAAATCTCATACTTATATTGAATTGAAGTTTGAAAGTTTAACAATAGAAATAATAATAACTATTATTATTACTATCACAGATAATAATGGTAAAATATCAAACTGTAAAAAATAGATAAGTATACATTTAAAAGAAAATATCAACTAAACATACATCGGAAAGATGAACTAAGAAATATTTCGAAGAATAACCAGGATATAATCCTGTCCAGTTTTATTATTAATTAGAAAGTTTCAGATCAATACCAATTCTCATTTTCGAATAAACGAAATAAAGAAAATAAATTTTTGCTAACTACACATTGTGCGTAAGAAATAATATGTACAATTGTAAAAAAATTAATAAAAATAGATTACAAAATATCACATAAATGAAATAATTAAAAATGGTAAATAAGAGAGACAGGGGAACTGGTTTACATAGATACATTTTGAAAACACATCCTTCTATCTAACATCAATATTTGATTATAAAACAAAACCCATGATAGTAATCTCATCAAAAAAGGTGGTAAAACAACAACAAAAAACGTTTCAGTGAACGAGAGAGATGAACGACAGTTGTACAAAAGAAAACACAATATCCAAATGAATTTATTTTTTAAAAAAAATAAACTGTAGTGTTCAATTATTATCTAACGAAAAGAAATCCCATTTTATGTGTACAGGAACAGGTTATACAAATAAGAGAATCTATTTTAAATTAATATTCACAGCCCTATATAGACATAATGTATTAGAATGTAATATACAACAAGAATATACGACAAAATTAACGACATATATCTTTGCTCAATATATATATATATATATATATATATATATATATATATATATATATTCATCCTTGAAGTTTGACTAGGTGACAAATACAAATTAAAATTTTCATTAAATATATTTCACTAAGAATTGTGCTGTTGTAATCAAATGAGAATTGACATCAACGGATCGAATAAAATCTGACACTAGTAAATCATTGTAATCTGCTCGTTCATTAACTTCTTTAATAAGGCACATATTTAAAAAATCTCGTAAATGATTAGAATATGGTAGATCACTTGAAAGACTTGGAGGATCACGATTTACAATCTAAGAAATAAAAGTCAAAATATTAAGAAATTTAAATATGTATTCATGTAGAAAAAATCTAATTGTCTAATATGAGGATATTTTACTATTTAGTTTACAAAATGCCCCCAAATGTCCTGGTACGGCCGAGAGTGGGAACAGTCCGCTCTCCCTCTCGAAATGCTCTCACATGGTCACGCGTATATAGCCTCTGCTAGGGAAGTCCTACTCACTGCCTTCTCGCACCACGGGTGTTTTTTACGAAATTGAGAGGACAAAAAGCGAATGTCCAGTGCTTTAACCGGGTTGTTGAATTTGGCGGACCCAGTTAAGTGAATTGTAAAACTCTGATTCCAAACCAATGGTGCACATAGGCTCCAGTATCCTGAAGGAACAAGTGGCGTATGAACCAATCGTTGGTCACCGGCTACCATGGGACTGCATCTCCTTACGATACTCCACTGCCTTGTGGGTCAGATCTTCGGGTCGAAGGCTCCGGGTGTGGCCCCCCAAGAACACCACCTTTTTCGGTTTGGGCACCCTAGCAGTATCACAGCCCTCACACATATCAAATGAGATTTGTATGGCGCATATGTATTTGGTGCCTCCTTGTACCAATATCTATGTGTTCAAATAAAATAAAATAAAAATAACCCATACACTCAATGGACTGTCACGTACTGAGAGATAAGGTTTTAGAAGTACAAATATCTAATAAAGTATGTTTAATTTAAACCGATATTTAAAAAAGATCATGAAAATAGAGCCTTCAATGGAATTGCGTTGGATTAAGTTGCCATACCACATCAGGACAAGATGGAAATAACAAGAGTGATAAACAAAAAGTAGTAGTAATGATAAAAAGAAAAACTAAATATTTTGAATATGGTTTGGAAAGAAAGAAAGAATGGAAAGGTATGTATGAAGGTATACTTAAATCCTAAATCGCGAGAAACATAAACATAAAATGCATCTCCACTATTTTGAATGATTCTCAGCCATATTACCCGAAGTCGTTAACCCCTAATGGCAGTTATCAAGCAGACTTCAACTAGATAGTCTATATCTACCAGCAAAGCTCAGACCAACAGTTAATGATTTCATGGACTGATGCTACTTTCTGGTTTGGTTGCCCGTAGCTTTCATCTAACGTACTTCTGAATTAACAAGCGTTACTCATCGAGATATGCAGTGGTTGAGCAAATGCAACACGTATTCTAACCACCTAAATCGATGAATTCACAACCTCACCAACCGATTTGTTACCCTGTACCATGACCTGAACCACGATCCCTAGAGATCTCTGGGCTTTACCCATCAGTATCTTAAATTACCGTTAGCCTTCTTAACCTCACTAGAATTTAGGAAACCTGTATTGACTTGCCAATGAGGCTGATTGGAGTTACAGAGTAATTGAAAGGTGGTCGGAGATCAGTTGAACTGTTCTCCACTGCTAACTAATCCACTAGGTTGAAAAAGCTTCATCCTTTTCCGAGATAGTCCCAGTAACACTTGGTTTTTAATACTTGTTCCCTATATTAGTCTGCAGAGTTGTCTAGCGTTATTTATATTCGTCGCCTGTTTCAACTCTTTTGATTACGTTAATCTAAACCGATGTTATCAAACATCATTCATGTTAATGTATTTCGCGAAATATTACTCATATTTTCAAAGTAGTCAAGAAACATAAATAAACTAGTGCATTGAAGATAATTCATATGGATAATAATTAGATTTTTTGAATTCTTTACATAAAATTGCATAATTATACAAGTTTAACAGCCGTCCAGTGCTTTCAGGTTTTCCATGGTGGTCTAGCTTCAACTGACTCATGATCTTAACCATTGAAATCACTATAATATCCACAAAACCCATCTGATATTAACAAGTACATTGTAACAACACAGTACTACATTTAAACAAGTTTTTTGAAGAAAAATATTCAACTTTTATCATTAGTGATTAGCATAATACTGACAGAAATATTTCGTAGAAATACTCATAAACATTCCATTAAAACAATATGCTCAAATATTTAATGTCAATGATATATTTTTACAGAAAAGTAATACTCAAGAAAACTTTCTAAGTGTTTAAAACACTTTTAGATAATTGATATCTATCTGTTAAAATATTTTATAAAACAACATATTTAGATAGATGATCTAGTTAGTGCATCATTGTACTTAACTTAGCAATTTGCATTATACACTTGCATATAATAATTATGGTCCACCATTGTATATGATTTGTCAGTTCTCAAATGATTATTCATCCCTTTACAGTTACTGAACTCAAAATAATTTCTTATTTTTGAAATATTTTAATTGTTTAAGTTTAATATGATGTTACGATTATGCTGAATGTACTAGTGATATTGAATCTGGCCATTTTAAACTTTTTTCACAAAATCATTAGAAAAACAAAAACACATCAGTAAGTAATAAATATAGTTATGTTTGTTTGACTATTGAGAACGTAAAAATTACTAGTAAATCAATCATGAGATTTAGACAACACATCAATGGTAGCAACACATGATTATGCGGCGTTGTTCATTTACTAACCTGAAGTAAAGATTTTCAAGAAAATTAAGAAGTCTATTCACGCTTATATATATATATATATATATATAATCCTATAATGCCTCGTGATTTATAATTAATTGCAGTGATACAATAAAACAGTAGGCAGAACAAAAATATGCTGAAATGAACCATTTATAACACATTAAGTAAACATTATCTTTCTGTGTAATACCATTTAAATAAATATAAACTTTTAGTACAATACAAGGCAGGTTTATTGTACGTTTTCTTCTTTTTAAAGTAATCACTAAGTAAAGACAAGTTGTATATATTACCAGGATTTTAAATGGTTCATTGTATGCTTTGTTGTAAACAAGTTATGATTTGTGCAACTTCATTAATAGGATAATTAGGATTTTATTTTTTACCATTGTAGATGCGAAAAAATAACAATGCGAATATTTCAAAGTATTTTGAAAATGAATCGAGAATATTGTGGTTAGGACAAATATTATACATATATATGAATTACCTGATTGAATGCATCTACAGGATCTTTAGGCGGTTCATATGGGTTTGTACCAGTAGCCAATTCATAAATGCTTAGGCCTAAAGACCAAATATCAGATTTAACTCCATAACTTTTTATAGAACCACAGCTTACACGCTCTGGAGCAAGGTAACGCCATGATCCAACATCTGTTAAAATTTCGCAGTTGGAAAGGGTGACGGCAGTACCAAAGTCTCCTAACTATAAAAAAAATCAAACAAATTAGGATAAAAAAGATACGTTAGTAAACTACAAAATTACTTTGAAGAATTTTCACAACAATCGAGTGGAAACGTTATAGAAGTTACGTAGAACTTATTAAGACATGATCAATAGGAAAAAAATTAGTAGTGAACTGATTATACAGAAGTCGTATCTTAGCATATTCGCAATGTGCTGTATATATATAGTCAGCAATTAACCACAACACTGTAATACCGTGACAACAAAGATTTTAAGTCTAGCACCATGGTTGCAGGACAATATTCACGTAATTTAGTCAAACATAATATTACTGGATAAGTAAAAAGAAAATATTCTGGCATTTTACCGTGTACAGTTTTAGGAGTAGATATAATTTATAATATTAAAATAGCAGTAGTGAAAAAACATTCCAAAGGCAACTATTTAAACTATTTTACTTCAGTCCTAATATAGTAATGAAATTTTTTTAAACCGTAGCGAGATCAAGTGATATTAACAAATGTAACGCACTTAATATAAATATATGTTATCGAATAAAATTAAGTCAGTATTATTAAGGTTACAAGTGAAGAAACTATTGCCACTCATACTTCAGCCTTTGTTGAATAAGCCTAGTAATTTAAATCAGTTTGCTTACAAATGTGAAATAGATGCCTTAGATGATACAGTTGTTCCGAATTATTATATGGTTCTCAGTTTTGAGAAGGGTGATAAGCATATTTGATCAGCACATCTAGAATAAGCCTCAGCCTTTGATTCAGTTCCAAAACCAGTGTAATTAAGAAAGTTTAATAATGATAACAACGATAGCTAGATAAATTGGCTGTGTTCTTAAGTCTCTGTAATAGGATAGTATACTGCAGATGGAGGAGAGCATTCCACTTTATTGTTAACCGAAGCAAGTATATAACAAGATGTTCTTTCCTTATTTTTTAAGTGATCTACAATGTACGAAATCTCTTTTGTTGAGTATGAGGATGGTCTTACTCCATATAGGCCAGTTACCACTAAGTTGTTCCTTTTCTATAAACTGAAGTGATCGAAATACATAATATGTGGCCTACTTATTATCTCTTATCACAATATTAACTGAATAAGATGAGAACATAGAAATACTGGCAAGCATCATGATTGTTAATAATCTGTGCTAGATAGGAAATCGTTGACTTACAATACATCCCATCAAGAGAACACTATATAATCACCTTCGAAATATCTAATAATCAAATATGAGAAACTTTAAACAATTTAAGTGAATTTATCTGACCATCTTATTACTTATAATTACTACAGAATATTGTTTCACTAGCATTACAATCTCATCTTGTTTTGATATGGTATACAAACACATAATCTAAGTCTATGTAACACGAAGTAGAAGAAAAAGAATTATTACAAAATGGTCGCATGTATATTAATCAATTGATTGATTATCATCTTACTTTTATTTCTCCACTTTTGTTAGCTAACATGTTAGCCGGTTTTATATCACGATGAATCATATTCATATCGAATCGTAAATAATATAATGCTGAAACAATTGAAAATGTTATATGCTTCAAAACATTTTCAGGAATGTATTCATTGAGTGCCTTTACCTGTAAAATAATTTAAAATCAAAATGAGAATACATAGAATAACAGTGATCATATAACATTATGAATCTATTGGTGTAACAAATACTTTTATTGATTCGCTTGAAAAAGGATTTATCACTATATAACCAGAATAATTGACTAATTAGCTTTCATTTTACACTGATTAAACTATGCATAAAATTTGTCTTGTTGATAACATTTATTAATTTAAAATTTCATGAGATTTCGTATTAATATACATATATATTGCGACTAAAGATTAAGAATTCCTATCGAATGCCTCCAACAATTTAGCATAGGAACAATTTAATTATTAAGATGCAAGCTTATATGAACATTCATCTAAATTTAGACAATCAGCTTAACAGAAATTAAGAATTAAGTATTTAGACGAAATTATATCACTGACTAAAAATTTACGTAATCTCAACGTTTCACCGAGTAAATTGATCCGAGATTCTTTATGGAAATAATCAGAATTATCAAATGTAAATAAAGTGTGAGAGGAAATCTATACTAAACCGTTATTTTGTCATGTTGGTGTATAGTACGAATGAGTTATTTGATGTAAAATATGTTGAAAATTCGAAACGTATAACGTTGTAAGTGTATTTATATACCATTGTTATTGAAAATGTTCGGTGAAATTTAGTTAAAAATGCTCAGATCAGATATCCGAGAGAAACTTTGGAATGATTTCAGTTTAAATCCCTAAGGTTATTTCAAATACCACTTTTACGTACCATACAATTTTCGTTAGAAAATTAAGACCAGTTCTATTTATATACTTTGCCAAAAAGGTTAGTATCTCCAACTGTAGAAGCTCTTATGATGACTGAAAAAAATCATCACACAAGATATTTTTTAGGACATTTTTGACACATCATCTGAATACTTATAATTTCTTATAGCCAGCGACATTTTACAGTCTTCAAAACAACTGCATTAAAACACATAGAATGAACCAGATGGGAAGGATTACAGTTTACCGCGTTCTGTAAGTAACACATTGAATAATAGTAAAATGTTAGTTGAATATTTATTAAATATCCTTTCGATAAACTAGTTAACACTTTAAAACAAACAGTTTAGTTCACTCCCAATCAAGAGTAGTATTCATATCGTTAAAAAATGTTTTACCTGGTTGCTTCACACGAACTGCCAATAAGAATAGACGCTTGTTAATATAAAAGGTAACTTTGTTTATGAAACATTTAGCAGCCTCTACACACTAATCTTTTACATACTACTTAGAATAACTGATTGCACAACATTACGTTTAAATTGAAGGCTTACTTTATTTAGAAGTACATCTAACGAGATATCCATAAGTTCTAATAAAATCCAAACAGAATCTACATGAGTGAAAGCACAATAAGATCGTAATAAAAATGGATGTGGATGCAATTTCCCTATTTCCAAATCTGCTATCATATCTGGATTACGTGGATCCAAATTGCAAAATGGTATTTTTTTAACCGCAAATGATTCTTTTGTTGATTTCAAACGCATTTTGAAAACTTGTCCAAAAAATCCTTCACCTGATAAAACAATAAATTGAAAAAAATCCATCTATGAAACAGTTGGAAAAGAAATAATAGATTTTCAATCCATGAGTTAATGAGATAACTGGTACGCCCACCTCCCAAGGCTTTCACATGGCAAAGTATACAATCACTGACAAGGAAGTTTTAGTCAACGCCTTCTTGTGATGGGGATGTTGTTTACGAAATTGAGAGGACGAAAAGCGAGTGTCCGGTGCTTTAACCAGGATGGTGGATACGAAGGATGCAACTGAGGGAGTTGTAAAACCCTGATTCCAAACCAATGGTGCACACGAGCTCCAAAGTCCTAAAGGAGACAAATGGTGTATGAACTTATCGTTGGTCATCGGCTACCATGGGACTGCATCTCATGACGTTGCTCCACTACCTTGTGGATTAAACCCTTAGGTCGAATGTTCAGGGCGTGGTCCCCTAAGGAAAATACGTGTTTCGGTCTGGGCACCCAGGCAGTATCACAGCCCACACACAAAGCAAGTGACTTGTGTGGCGAGTATCTGTTTGGTGCTTCCTTGTACCAATATTTATGTGTTCAAATAAATAAAATAATAATAAACAACAACAACAAAAAGAGAACGTTGATATTTCTCAAAGTTTTACCAGTCAACAGGTGATAACTAAGTCTGTCATTTGTGATAGGACCCTGAAGATTGATCACAGTCAGTCAGTCAGTCAGTAACAACGTAGAACTTCGTACGTACGTACATCAGTTCGAGTTGCCACACCACATTAGCACAGAGATGCAGTTGTCGATTCAAATCCCATAGTGGTAGAGGTAATAAGAGTATGAGCAGTAATCGGGAAGATTAGGGTTTGGATATGTTATTTAAAGAGTATGATCCAGTGAAATAAATTTGGAAAGAGGAAAAAAGGGACATGAAGAATTCAGAAGATTAGAATTTGGGAGAACACAGAGAGTGGATGCACCTGCGCCATTGCAAACGATTTTGAGCCATGTCATTCAGGGTCTCTAACCATCGGTTGCTATCATCTCGCGGTCCCCAACCAGGTAGTCTACACCTACCAACATGACTCAGTCAACTTGTCAGTGACTTCATGGACTTGTGCCATGTTTTGGTCTAGCCGCCCCTAACTTTCTTCCAACCTACTCCTATACCACTACCACTGAACATCGCACGTCGAGGCAGTTGGTCGTTGGGCATACGTAACACGTGTTCCAGCCATCTCAACTGATGAAGTTTCACTACTTCATCAATTGATTTGCCATCCTTACCTAGTACCCGTTTCCTAACAACTGTGTTACTTACTCGATGGTCCCATGATATACGAGCAATGTTTCGAAGACACTTATGATCAAATACTAGTAGCCTACGGATATCCTCTACTCTTACAGGCCATGTTTCACTGCCATAAAGTAGGACGGAAGGAACTGCTGCGCAGTAAACCCGTCATTTGGTTGATAGACGGATATCTCGCCTACGCCATAAATGACGCAAGTCGGCAAAAGCTAGTCGAGCCTTCTGTATCCGTGCTGAGATTTCGTCACACACCAGACCACAAGGGCTGATGAGACTTCCAAGATAAGTGAAGCGGTCGACACACTCAACTACTTCACTCTTTATCACTAGTTCGGGTATCGATGTAACCCAATCCTGAAGCAACATTTTGCATTTCGAGGGAGAGAATCGCATCCCGAACATGCTTGCATTGTTGCTTAGAGTGGTCAGAAGACTCTGCATTTTGTCAGCGTCTTCACCAAATAAAACTATGTCATCTGCATATTCTAAGTCAACAAGTGAACCTCCTGGTAGAAGTTCAACCCCTGGAAATCTAGACGAGGAAAGTGTTATCTCTAGAAGTACGTCCACGACAAAGTTGAACAAGAATGGGGAGAGTGGACAGCCCTGACGAACACCACTTGAGGTAATCAATTCTGATGACAGTTCGCCATAAGCTCTCACTCTACCAGTTGTGTTCGAGTAGAGAGCCTTTATAAGGTTAATGTACTTCTTTGATTCTCCTTTCAGTGACAAACACTGCCATAGAACCTCACGATCAACAGAGTGGAATGCCGCCTTAAGGTCGAGAAATACTACCATTGTGGGGCGTCTGAATGTGTGTCTGTGTTCTAGAACCTGACGTAGTGTGAATATCTGATCTATACAACCACGTCCAGGTCGAAAACCAGCCTGATTTTCTCTAGTCTGCTCTTCACGAGCTTTGATTAGGCATCGAAGTATTATTGAAGCTAATATTTTAGACACTATATTAGTCAAACTGATTCGTCTGTGATTGTCACAAGAGGACTTTTGTCCTTTCTTATAGACTGGCATAATCAGTGATTGAGACCAGTCAGATGGGATTACGTCCAGTTCCAAAATTCTACCTAAGACCTCGGTTAATGTCATTGCTAATACTGGACCACCATCCTTAAAAATCTCAGGAGTAAACCTGTCAGGGCCTGCTGCTCTCCCTCGTTTCAGATTTCCTATGGCTTTTCCAACTTCGTAAATGGACGGAGGACCTACATTAACTTGCCATTCAGGTTGACTAGAGATCGTGGGAAACCGAAGTGTGGCTGAAGGCCAGTTGAACTGATCCCTAAAGTGTTCTGCCCATCGATCCAATCTCCTGGATTGAGAATGAATAATATGTCCATCTTTCTCTGAGATTGTTTCGCTAACGGTCGGGTTCCTAATTCCGGTTTCCTTAACGAGTCTGAACAATTGTCTGCTATTACCTATTGCCGCTGCCTTTTCCATCTCTCTTGCTTTCGCCACCCACCACTGTTCGCGATCATTGCGTAGGCTTCTGGTCAGCTTGCGCTTAAGCTGACTCCGCTCTTCATTATGTTCAGAGCCAGGTGGAATGAGTTTCCGAGCATCTATCAGTGAGATAGATGCTGCTGAGATCCAGTGTTGCTCCCTAACCTTCTGGTTTACCTTACTAGCAGATATCACTGCTGTTTCCACAGCTTTTCGGATATCATTCCATGCTGCATCGGGGTGGGCATCACATACATGGCTGCCTAACTGTTTTCCTAGTTGTTCCTGAAATATACTCTTAGCTTGATTATCATTAAGTAGGCCCCTAAGAGGTTTTCTTGCAGCGTCTTACCTACGTCCAGCAAGACGCAAGCAAATACGCGCTCGCACTAGAGCATGATCTGAATCAAGGCATGTGCTCCAGAATGAGCGACAGTCTTCTATCGAGCCCCTCCATCGGTGACTGATAGCGATGTGATCTATTTGGGTCCAACGTTGGGACGAATTAGGGGGTCGCCATGTTAAAAGATGTTTTTCCTTATGTTTAAAGTTAGTATTTGCAAGGAACAGGCGGTTATCTGAGCATAGCTGCAACAGACGGTCGCCATTATCTGTTCTTTGAGCCACGACACAATAAGATCCACCAAGGTGTCTTTCCCTATCGCTTAGTTTACCTACTTGAGTATTAAAGTCACCGGCCACTAATACTACATCCGAGCGCTTAGCTTTTCGGAGAAGGTCCGAAAGCTTTCTGTAAAACTCCTCTTTTACATCATCTGAGCTGCAGTCAGTGGGAGAATAGGCAGAGACGACGAAGAGGCAACGACGAGTGTCCCTATCTTTCCGGATTCTTACTGTTCCGTTCAGTCGGACAGCGCACAAACGACTGTCTACTGGGATCCACTCTAAGAGAGCTAGTTCTGCCCTAGGACTCAATGCTATACCTACGCCGGCGAGGACACGGGAAGCAGAATCAGGGCTCCCAGATACACGAAGCGTAAATCGAGTCGGTTCTTTATTTTGGCATGGTGAGGTCAAATGAATGACGCTACTTGGATCCTGTATGCGTGTTTCGGAGACGCAGCACACATCGATGGCGCGAGATTCTAAAGTTTTAGCAAAGGAAGCCTGCTGTCCTATTTGGCAAAGTGTTCGTACGTTAAAAGCTCCTACGTGTAGTTTAGAGCGTGGTTTCAGGAGACCAGGAATGGCGTTCCACGTACTCGAATCGTTTGCCCTAGTGGTGCGAGGTGATAAAGAGACGTGGGGAGGGTTAGTCGGGGAGATAAGAGAGGTATTAGAAGGTGTAGGAAAGATTTGAATGTGACCACCTTGGTCTCTTGTGTTGTTACGGGTATGAGGGGTGATATCACTTCCCGGCTGCCCACACTGTGGAAGGGTATTTCTTGAGGAACCTGAAAAGGAAATTGGATTAGTGTTGGTCTTGACGACCTGGGAGCGTGACCGCAGAGCCCAAGGGACAACTGCTTGAGGCCGGTCGCGCACGGCCTTTTTGTGGAAGGTTTTTGACGTGTTAGCTCCGTTCTTCAAAAGGCCTTACCGCCGGAGACGGAAATCCGTGAGGTAAGGTGAGGTGTGACATTTTTAGGGTCGACCTTTTCTAACCCCACCCCTCCTTGTGGGAAGGCAGCATCGCTGTCATGCTGGATGTCCGAGGGAAACACCTTACTACTGTCACACCCCTCTACAGTCAGCAGTACGACTTCGCCCTCAGACCTTGAGTTGCTGCTTTTAGTCTTACCGTTCACCAATCGACCTGCCTGGCATGGTAGAACCTGCAGGAACATATGTTCCAGCCAATATAGCTCGGCTGGGTCATCACGATAGGCAAGCCCGACCACCGCGTCAAGGTAGCAGCTTCGGTCGGGAAGATTGATCACAAGGTAATATAAATTAGATCAAGGTTAGTAATCAGTTAAAATACATAGTGTAGGCATTCCCACATATGGCTTGAGGAGATTCAATGCCAATTTGTTATAAATTAGGCGTTTTCATGGTTTAAACTGAGAGGTGACAGTAGTTAGACTGCCACTGAAAAGCTGAATGCACTAAATGGGCGCCTAGACTGGGACAGACGGTTCTCTTAGGCCATACGTCGAGCCTTTGACCTGAAGGTCTGATCCACAAGGCAGTGGAGCAACGTCAGGAGATGCAGTCCCATGGTAGCCGGTGACCAACGATTAGTTCATACGCCATTTGTTCCTCCAAGATACTGCAGCCTATGTGCACCATTGGTTTGGAATCAGAGTTTTACAATTCACTTAAGTAGGTCCTCCAAATTCAACAACCCGGTTAAAGCACTGGACATTCGCTTTTCGTCCTCTCAATTTCGTAAACAACACCCGTGGTGCGAGAAGGCAGTGAGTAGGACTTCCCTAGCAGAGGCTATATACGCGTGACCATGTGAGAGCATTTCGAGAGGGAGAGCGGACTCTCTCTACTCTCGGCCGTACCAGGGCATTTGGAGGCGACCTGAAGATTGGCTACTATCCAGTTGTTTTACAAAGAAACTGCTTTGACAGCTTTCATAATTAAGCATAGGTAAGAAAAAACGACACCACTTAAAAATTCTTTACAGTGATTGTTTTATATGGGGTATACAAAACAGAACTTTATCTTCTAACAGAACTTTACTGACATCAGTTATTAATTTTACTTCTAGTTTCCGACTACCTTACTTCATTATCTCTTTTAAATTTTTCGGATCAGTATATTCAGTGAGAATACTGACCAAGCTAAAGTCGAATGTATTGGACATCACATTAAAACATAAAAGGATGCAAATTGATTTAAAGAGCTATATATAGTGATGGGAACACAATTAACTCACCAAGAATACATGTATCCTCGAAATCATCACCTGTAACCGTTATTGAAGTATCGTTAATATCCAAGATTGCACTTGTAGATAAATTGGGGACAGGGGTTAATTGACAACGAGGAGAAGTGACTCTATCTAACTTCAGCCTTTGCTCACTAGGAAGAGCGAGAAACCGATGTCTTACGGACTGTTCCGACATATGCAGCTATGTAATTTAAATTCTGGAACAAAAATTAATAACTATGTATAAACATCGACAAGGAACCAAAATATACTTAGACATAGGGTCCACTTACTAATATTTTCTGTTTAAGCTATGAAAACTACGAGAAACAAGCTGTGATATGGTAGGACAAAAAGTAAATGGAAACTGGGAGAGTATCTTTTAAAGTGTTGGTGCTAAAATGTTAGGTGTACTATTACACAGAAATACTTTTCTAGACCATTTTGCTGAATATTTTCAAAAGTCAATCTGGCATACAATTTAGGTAGACAGGTAAAAAATTATCTTGTATAAATATGCATCAATCAAAGTTACTATAAACTGGGTCAGCATAACAAAATGAAAATAAGGAAAATCAAGAAGTGAAAGCGATGGCATCAAAAGTAATGAAGAAATTTTGTCCGTATTGAGTAAATTTTGGGGAAGCCGCAATACGAAAGTTTGTGAAAATTTCGGGTAAATGACGCAAAACCCAGAAAATTTCCCAAGTCTAAGGAAATCCCCGAAATGCTTAGGTAAATTTTAGGACTTCTCCAATATTTCCTCAGAATCTTATAACAATTTGGGTTTTTTCCCTAACTTTGGGTAAAACTACCATGTTTTTTCTGACTTTGGAGACAGCATGATCATTAAAGAACTCGGTGTCTTTGGTCTGCTAAATAAGCTGGACATAAGCAAATTCAGGGCGTCCGATGAACTGCATCTTAGGTCACTAAAGGAATTAGCTAACTTCGTTGCGAACCCTTTAAGTATATACTTCAATCTAACCGTAAACCAGGGTCGTTTATCAAAAGACTGGAAGAACGCCATAGTAAGTCCTGTCTTCAAAACAGATACGAAAAATAAACCTGAAAATTACTGACCCTATAGCCTAACTAGTGTGGTTGTTAAAATCTTAAAAAAGATTATTCAGAAGGAGCTGTTTAAGTACCTCGATGGAAACCGGATCCTTTCGGAGAAGCAGCACGGTTTCAGAATAGGTTATCCTTGTCTCACTAACTTATTACTGGCTCGTGAAAGCTGGTGCGCTTTCAAGGACAAGAAGTTATCTGTAGACGTAGCCTACATTTACTTCAGCAAAGCTTTTGACAAATTTCTGCACAATCGTCTGTTATATAAGTTAAAAAATATCGGGGTTGCACGTTATCTGTTGATATGTATAAAAGACCTCCTAGTTTGACGCCAACAAGGAGTACAGGTGAACGCAAAGTTCTCTAGCTGGAAAACTGTGCTTATTGGAGTGCCCCAGGGTACATTTTTGGGGTCAGTGTTACTTGTCTTGTATGTAAATGACCTCCCTCGTCTCCTATCATCATCGGTCTTGCTATATGCTGACGATGTCAAGATATGGAGAACGATACAATGTAAGGGTGATAGCTTAGAACTCCAAAATGACCTGGAGAAATTACCTGAATGGTCTCAAACTTGGTAGTTGCCGATAAACACTTCCAAGTGTGTTGTGATGCATACCGGTCATCAAGGTGCAGATACATACACGATGAATAACACTTAGCTACCTGTTGTCCAGATACAAAATGACTTAGGAGTCATCGTTAGCCAAGACATGAAAACTAATGCATACTACCGTGCAATAATTGACGAAGGTCTTAGAACTTTATGTTCAATACACAGCGCTCTTAGTCATCTCGACGCTAAAACTTTTTTGCTTTTGTATACAATGTTCGTGTGTCCTAAACTTCAGTGACACATGCAAGCGGCTAGCCCCTGCTTAATAAAAGACAATGAGCTTTTGGAAAAGGTTCAGAGAACAGCAATTAAGCTGATTCCTAGAATAGCGAAGATCTTGTATGATGCTAGACTGGCCAAGTTAAACCTAATCCCGTTGTCATAAAGAAGAACTAGAGGCGACTTGATTACAGTTTTCAAATTGCTTATTGATGAATTTGCACTTGATACGCTCTCATTTTTCTTGTCTTACGAAACAAAGGATTTACGAGGGCACTCCAAAAAAGTTTACAAGCCCAGAACAAATTACTTGTCAGCTGACTATCGATTTTTCCATAGAATCATCAACGAGTGGAACTCATTACCTCAGCATGTGGTTGAGGCTCCATTTGTCAAATCTTTCAGAAAGTTGGAGCAACTGAGAGACCATCATTGACAGAACTAACAGAGGCCATCAAGCATCCTGTCCTTTCCTTTCCAAACTGAAACTGTCTTTACATCACATTATCCAGGATTCCACTTTTGAAATTACGAAAGCTTGTACGTTTGATGATAGGTTGCAAGAATTTACCAATAAGTTACTGAATAAAAATATATGCACAAATAAATTCTTCTTACATAGAGAAAGCAAAGAATACATGCAGACACCACACGATACCGCTTTATAACAATCATACCGCTTTATTTGACCTCAAGCCTGAACCTAAACACTTAATAGTTCAAACAAGGCACTTTTAAACTTTGCCGTCAGAGATTTTCAGTTATTTGCTTCCCATTATCTGCTTCTTCTATGAATTGAGCTGTTCTGTTTTCACGTTGTACAAATTGCAGTTAACCACAGTGAATTCATATAAGCGTTAAACTAACGTTTTCCATACGGTAAATCATGTTTAATACATTTTTACTACTGAAATCTGCCCGTGGTATATTAAATCTATTCAAGTATAAGGAGATTTGAATCAGGGAAAGATTACCTGTAGCGCCTAAATGTGGCCCAAAAATAAATTTTCCGATATCGTCTCTGAGTAGACACATGAATACATTAGGAAATGTACGAGCACTTCCGTGATGTGAAACCTGTAGAAACAAATTTATGGTGTGTAAAGCACCAAATATGTTCTCTAGAATTTCCATACTGTGTCTCTGTTTACTGTGATAAATAAGCCAACTTGTCATGCAGAATGTAAAGAAACTAAATCTTCAGATCTATTGTAAGTACAGAGACTGAAAGTCTTCAAACATCGTTCAGTCGGTGGTGTGATGAAAATGAATCGTTGAAAATCTTCAAAATCATAAATGTTGATGCACTTTTCAGAACTTTTTGGTGGTTGGAGTATCATTATCTTAAATTTCAAATGCAGGGTGGCTTGCTTGAACATCTGAGCTACCTGTTTCTGCCACCTATATATTTCAACAAGTTAATTGTTTTTAACTCGTCACAGTGTGTGTTAATCGTGAAACCTGTTAAGAAACTGCGAAGCTGAACAGAGACATCGTAGTCGTTGGCAATATGCAGCGAAAAGAATTCATATTATTCTTAAGTCGATTCATGGACTACAAACTTCTAGCTGGCGACCACTCTTTATTTGTCGTCAAGAGCGACCGAGAAGTCAGAAACGAAAAGTTGTTAAAACACTTTGTGCTGAAAATTCTATAAAGCACCAAAAATATAATATTTAATAAAGTTACAAATAATAATAAGGGCTCATGACTGTATACTATGCAAGCTGTGGAGATAAGTCTAACAAGCTTATTTTGTAAATAGCTTTTAATATTATTTGTATTTATTTTGTCAATTTCTCACTGCATGTACATTTATCATTAAATGATTGTACCTGTTGTTTAAGTAAATGACCTTGAAGACTTTTCCGTTGTGATACTACATAGCGTGACATATCGTTGCTGGTTAACAAATACACTGCTTCTCTCAAATTCCCCGTTGTTTTTTCATTCGAGATTGAGTTAACTGAGATATAAAACAAATACTATTTACATTCATAGACTGTGAGAGCGAATACACTATATCTTGTTTTGGATTACACCACTGAGGAGTTCATCGATACGTTTGGAATTACCAAGCATCTATAATTGTGGATTTATTGTACCAGATTAAAGCCGAACACGCATCATTTTGGGTGAACTTAAGTAAAGTCACATTTTTATTGTATTTGTAACATTTAACTGATATATATTAACATTACTATTGATTTTTATTAACTTTGTTGATACTTTTTGTGTCTATATATCGTCTGGTCCACCACAAAGCAGTCATAATGATTTTGTGTATTTACAGGTCACAGTCGGGAAAATTAAATGGGCAATCAATATTTCAGATCCGTTTTATCTACCCAATCGTAAAAAGAAGAAAATGAGTATTTAATTCATTTTAATCGAAAAATCATCGGTTTAATATATGTATCTTAATTCACAATAAACTGTAGCATACCTATGATAATCGAAAGTATTTCAATTATCTTGCTATCTATGAGTTCTCGACATAGTACAATTTAAGCCATATAGAAATACGTGAGCACAATGAAACTTATTGTATTTGAAATTCATAATTATCGGAAGTTCAAGTACAAATGAATCATCAGTTGATACAAATACCGCAATACTGTACGATATACCATGATGTACTCTGAGTTAATAGGAGTTGTATTGATCAAGAAAAGTACGTCCGGTCAAAACTTAGATGTTCAAATAGTTCAAATGGTTGTGCACGGAATAGAAGAAGCTTCCGCTCATCGGGCTTTCATGTCTAGTAGCAGTGGATCACCAATACCTCCAGGTAGAAACCTAGGTATATTAACTATAATACACTAGAAAAAAAGAAATCAGTAAATCATAATAATATGTTGTCCTTAGTCCTTAAGAATAGGTCAAGTTTACTTTTAAATTACTCCTGAGAAGTTTCTTGGACTAGTTCATTCGGCAGCGAATTCCAGCATTTGACAACTCTTAAGGAGTGGAAGTTGTGTCTATAGTCCGTTCTGCTATGTTTTATTTCCAATTTCTGGGTGTTATCCCTTAGAGTATTATTAAAACTAAGCTTAAGTAGGTGTTTAAGAAGATGTCCAGAAGTGTTAAGTATACTGTAAGCCATCAGAAGGTCACCTCTAAGACGCCTATATTCCAATGGGTAAAGGTTAAGTGATTGGAGGCGCTTTTCATAAGGTTTGAATTTGAGTTCCCAAACTGATTTTATGGCTCGCCGTTGGATACGCTCCTGAGTATCCTTATCCTTTCGGAGTGAGGGAGGAAATAGTATGTTTCTGTACTCTAAATGAGGACGAGTGAAGCTGTTAAAGATCATGTAGAAAGTTCTCCCGTCAAACTGTTCAAACACGCGCTTCTATGTTACCAGTGCAAGATTTGCTCGAAATGCATTTTTGTAACAGTTGGCGTAAGACTTGAAATCGTAAGGTACCAGCACTCCTAAATCTTTTTCAACTTGTGATACTTCTACAGAGGAGTTTCCTAAGTTATAACCGCAGTCTGCAACATGTCTCAAATGGACTACTTTACACTTTGAATTGTTGAGGGTAAGTCAATTATCATCGGCTCAGCTTTGAAGTCGATTCACATCCTCCTGAAGTGCCAATTTATCCTCTTGGTTACGTATCTTTCTCAAAAGTTTCACATCATCGGCAAAATGTAATAAGTCTGACGATATCTGCTGTGAAAGATCGTTTATATAAGTCGAGAAAAGAAAAGTCTCTAGTAGTGAACCCTAGCGAACCCCACTAGGACACTCTATGGCCTGAGAGAAAGTGAAGTTAACACTGACCCTGCAACATCGATTTTTAGACATGGAGTGAGCCAACCAATTAATAGTGATTTGCTGCCTAATCGTTTGAACTTTTTGATAAGACATATAAAGTTGACCCTATCAAAAGCTTTTGAGAAGTCGAAATATGTCGTACCAACCTCCCTCTCGCGGTCAAAAATGGTTGTCATCTGTCCACTGCAGTCAGCAGGTTGGTTATAAAAGAGTGACCTTTCCTGAAACCATGCTGTTGGGGTGAGAAGAAATTTAAGGACAGCAAATAGTCATATATACCATCTCACATCAGGGACCCCATGGTTTTTGAAAGTGTAGAGAGAAGAGCCACCGATCGTTAACTTGAAGGATCACTGCATCATCCGCCTTTGGAAATCGGTGTGGTGTGAGCCAGCTTTCAAATTTACGGTAGTTTACCTCGGCTTAGTTTATCGAATGTGACATGAACTGAAACAAAATGTATACAGAATTTATGAATGGATGGCTTATCAAAAATTCACTTGATACTTTCGAGACCAGCTGAAGCTTTGAGGAAAACAGTATTTTATAGTTTGCATTTCAACCCATGTATGCGAAAGAAACATTTCGCACGGTTTATGCTTACACACTTCTCATTATGATTCCCACTTCCATACTGCTACAAGTAGGCTAAACACATTTGACATTTGATTAAGAACTGCCACGTTGAATTTTAATAACTTCACTACTTTGAGATTTATTTGTTTTACTCAGCTTCTAAACTTGTTTGTTTATATATTCGAACATTTTGGTTTCTCTTTGTGTAAGATCCATTTTGAAGGTTTTGTGTGTTGGTGAAAATCCCTCCATGTATATACTTGTACTTTGTTCCTATTGATCCCCTTGGTTGTACATTGTTGTATTTTGGTTACATTTGAATTGTTAATGCTTGTATTTTTTTATTATAGTTTTTGTTTTTCTTACGCATTCACTAAGTTTGTGTTTCTTCCTGAACTGCATCTGTGTTGTTTTACTTGACACTTGTTCTTGGCGGTATGCATATTGGTTTGCTCCTCCTTTTGTGTGTGTTCTATCCAGTCAGGATAGAATGACGTTCATTTGTTGTGACTGGTAATTTTTCCTCATCTTCTATCAACTTCCTTATTTATTGTAATTTAGATTTGATTGATTGAACAATTATTGGTTGAATAGCCGGGTGGTAATATTTGTTTAGGTAACGATTTACATTTAAATTTATGATGAATTATAGAACCGCTATTTACCCGATTACTTGTTTTGATTTCGACGGGAAAGAGCGCGTGTCTAAAGTCCCAGGTCGGCTATTCTTCAACATCCAAACCGTAGTTTGGATTCTACACTTTGTATCTGGTTTGGTATTTGGACGTTTTATTCCGAGAACCTAAAAAGTTGGAGGTTTGTTTTGTAATTGTTTTAATTTTTATTAGAATGATATTTAGGTCGATTGTTTGCGAACACATCTTGGTGCCTGTTATTGAGATTAGTTCTCTTGTTATTTTTGGGTTCAAAAGTTGCAAGTAGATCGACATAACGTGCTTCAGTAGCAGAAGGGAGCGAAAACTTGAAAGCAACGTATACTCCTAGCCATATAGCTCAGAAGAGCCTGGAAAGCGATAATAGTTCCCTTGTTATGTCATTCTTAAAAAATTAATAACCTCTGAATTGAGAATGTAATCCTTGCTATAACAGTGACTTATAGCAAATGGTCTTATCATATCGGTAATTTTTAATATGGATTTCGGTTTCGCCCTCCTACAGCCTTCACTGAATCGATAGTTTATGCGTCAGAATTTAAGTTCATTATGACTTTGCTGGTTCATGAAGATCTTTCTCATCGATTTCCAATTCAAAATCAAATGTAGTCGTCACAAATTTGCAAAAACAAATTGATTTA